CCGGGTCTGGAATGCGCAATCGAAAGCGCCCAATAATTTGGTTTATGCACATTTCTTGCTTCCTTGGTGAAGTGGTGTGTGGATGAAGACATGAACACCCAGTACTGCAGGAGATCATACTCAAAGCGTCACTTACTGTTGTTGTCACTGGTGTTGGGGTCGCCTTGTTCTGCTACCAGCTACCGGTACTCTGTACAGACATCGGAACTCTGGAGGCTGCACTAACTGGTAACCGATTCTCACTGTGTCAGAAGCACATGTCGACTGGCGAACCGTGACAAGAGACTCGAGCGCGCCGGCATAATCAAGATATTCCGAGGCGTTCCGTCACCGGTGCACAACCAATGGTCACTCACGTTTGGCCTCGTGCGCATTTTTCGGAAATGCTGTTGCTATGGTCCGTTCATGTCGTTTTCCTGCGTCACCAAACTAGAAACGACAAGGCGAACAAGAGCTGGGCCCTTCCGCTATAGCGGGTAGCAAGACTTGGCCATGTTTGTCTCCCATTCCGCCAACACTGTGAATATTTTACCGTCGCTCGTTGCACCACCACATGCTGGGTCAAGACCGAAACAGAGCGTCTTCGACGAAACGAGCCAAGTGACCATTCGACAAGGAGCACTCCAGGACTTGAAGCTGCCGGTGAACACACGGCCTTGAGCAACAGTGCTACAAAAGCATGCAACGAAGAGAACCAGGTAGCATTCCGACCACCAAACTGCTCATGCTTTAGGTTTCTGCAAAACGAAACGCTGGCATTTCTTTCACAAAAAAACCTGGCAAGCGCCTTTGCTTTGGCCGTTACTACAAGGAAAGGGTCAGGTGAGCTGCAGCGTTTTGGCGAACAAAAAGTGCACCAATGGATTGGCTTCTCGTTTCCACCATGTCAACTGCACGGACTGTGCAGTCACACGTCGAAATGAGCCACACGTAGAATCTACACCTAGATCTGTAGTCCGTGTAGACCCTACCATGCGCTCGGTTACAAGCGGGGGGGGGGGGGGCACTATTCAAGAGACTCAGAGAGCTCTATTTTTCCACTGGCTCTAATACTGCCATGGCATTAGTACTGGGGCGAGATTGGGCACGATTCCAGAGAGAGGGCTCTAATCGCGCGAGTACGGTACCTACGTGAAGATATCACATTATATTTAGTAAATTATGATGTAGATCTACATGATTGTACAAATAAAAAAAAATACATTCTGCACCTCCATGAATGAGGCATGAGCGACACTGAGGGCGCGTTCGAAATGTCGCGTTCGAAATGTCTTCATCAAGAGATTAGTTGAAGTGTCCCATGCATTACTGGCATTAGACCGGTTTCTATCATTTTAGAGTTTTTCAGTGGAATTGTCATGGCGATGATGACGTCCGATCAGATCGACCATCTCCACGTACTACATGACGTAGCTATTCCAAACTGTTCGAAACTAATCAACCTCTCCCATCGAATGAGGTTGTGGAATTTCGAGGAGTTTCGAGGAGCTCCGTTTTTCTGAAGAAGCCAATAAGCCTTAAGGCCACCTCTTCAGAAAAACGAAACTCCTCGAAAAGTCAACCTCAAAGAGTGACAATTCGAACGCGCCCTGACTCACGCTGCTATCTGGTGTTCACGAAGTGTTTGTCGCACTGGAAACGGAGCGCCTCTGCAATTGTAAGTTTGTATTCCTGGTGATGTTTGTGCCCGGAGAGCACTATTATGAGTAAAGTAATAGTTGTATCACCTTTAGAACTTTTGTCACCTTCAAATTTCTTTAGGTATGCCACTGTCTTTTCTATGTTGAAAGTGCGCCACTTTACCTTGTAAATAATACTCATATCAACTATTCATTCGTTATCTGCCTCCGCCGAGGAGCTCTAATTAGCGAAACAGCTGTCAGGAGGATATGGAACATCTATCCAAGAACAAACTTCCTCGCTATGGAGTGGTGTTGTGAATGTGGAACTTCCTCGCTATGGAGTGGTGTTGTGAATGTGGAACTTCCTCGCTATGGAGTGGTGTTGTGAATGTGGAACTTCCTCGCTATGGAGTGGTGTTGTGAATGTGGAACTTCCTCGCTATGGAGTGGTGTTGTGAATGTGGAACTTCCTCGCTATGGAGTGGTGTTGTGAATGTGGAACTTCCTCGCTATGGAGTGGTGTTGTGAATGTGGAACTTCCTCGCTATGGAGTGGTGTTGTGAATGTGGAACTTCCTCGCTATGGAGTGGTGTTGTGAATGTGGAACTTCCTCGCTATGGAGTGGTGTTGTGAATGTGGAACTTCCTCGCTATGGAGTGGTGTTGTGAATGTGGAACTTCCTCGCTATGGAGTGGTGTTGTGAATGTGGAACTTCCTCGCTATGTAGTGGTGTTGTGAATGTGGAACTTCCTCGCTATGGAGTGGTGTTGTGAATGTGGAACTTCCTCGCTATGGAGTGGTGTTGTGAATGTGGAACTTCCTCGCTATGGAGTGGTGTTGTGAATGTGGAACTTCCTCGCTATGGAGTGGTGTTGTGAATGTGGAACTTCCTCGCTATGGAGTGGTGTTGTGAATGTGGAACTTCCTCGCTATGGAGTGGTGTTGTGAATGTGGAACTTCCTCGCTATGGAGTGGTGTTGTGAATGTGGAACTTCCTCGCTATGGAGTGGTGTTGTGAATGTGGAACTTCCTCGCTATGGAGTGGTGTTGTGAATGTGGAACTTCCTCGCTATGGAGTGGTGTTGTGAATGTGGAACTTCCTCGCTATGGAGTGGTGTTGTGAATGTGGAACTTCCTCGCTATGTAGTGGTGTTGACATGTTGTGAATGTGGGCAAAGAGCGCAGTGTGGAGAGGTGGACAGGTTAAGATTATTTTCAAATGGCCGAGTTTGTCGCTACTTCTGAATTTAATATTAGTCGTGCTGTTCTCAGTGGTCAGAGAGTCGTGAAC